GTTGTTGTCTTACTAACAATAGAGAGATAATAGAGTTTCTTTGTAAGCCATCTGGCTACCACGAGAGACTCGTTCAAAATGTAATAATTCGTTCAAAATGTTCAAAATGTAATAATTGTGTTGTTGTCTTACTAACAATAGAGAGACAATAGAGGTTCTTTGTAAGCCATCTGGCTAACACAAGAGATTCGTTCATGAGGCTATCCGCATACACAAGCACAGAGACAATTTCAACCGAGAAGATGGATTCTGGCTTAGCAATCATTGGAAGGATTTGATAACCCATTTCGGGTCTTAATTGATTGTTCACGCTTACGGTGGCTTTCAGACAGCGTACATTAATTTTTCGTTTCCCCCCTCCTCTTTTCAGAAGATAGATGGACTCGTCCTTCTAAATAAACTGACAAATCGTTGCCCGTGGTGCAAACGGTTTTTAAAAAATAAATAAATACACCGTTAAAAAATAAATAAATTAAAGCAAACCGCCACACCTGATGACGACCGTTTGTGTTATGGTCGAAACGTCGTGAGAATTTTTATTGTTTAAATATATTTTATTATTTTAGTGTTTCCCTTCAACGTGGTGACTTTACCGAAAGAGCTAAGAATATGAATTACTGCAGTCACGAAAGCTTTGAATCAAAATTTAATATTTGTGTTGTTGTCTTACTAACAATAGAGAGATAATAGAGTTTCTTTGTAAGCCATCTGGCTACCATGAGAGATTCGTTCATGAGGCTATCCGCATATACAAGCACAGAGACAATTTCAACCAAGAAGATGGATTCTGGCTTAGCAATCATTGGAAGGATTTGATAAACCATTTCGGGTCTTAATTGATTGTTCACGCTTACGGTGGCTTTCAGACAGCATACATTAAATTTTCGTCTCCCCCCTCCTCTTTTCAGAACATAGATGGACTCGTCCTTCTAAATAAACTGACAAATCGCTGCCCGTGGTGCCAACGGTTTTTTAAAAATAAATAAATAACACCGTTTTAAAAATAAATAAATACAAACCGCCACTTCTTTCAAAGGTTTCTTGCCGTTGTTTTTTTTTCACACCTGATGACGACCGTTTGCGTTACGGTCAAAACGTCGTGAGGATTTTTTTATTGTTTTATATATATTTTTGTATTATTTTATTGTTTCCCTTCTACGTGGTGGTGACTTTACCCAAAGAACCAAGAATAATAATTTTATTGTTTTACAATAATTTTATTGTTTTATATTTTTATTATTTTATTGTTTCCCTTCTACGTGGTGGTGACTTTACCCAAAGAACCAAGAATAATAATTTTATTGTTTTACAATAATTTTATTGTTTTATATTTTTATTATTTTATTGTTTCCCTTCTACGTGGTGGTGACTTTACCCAAAGAACCAAGAATAATAATTTTATTGTTTTACAATAATTGTATTGTTTTATATTTTGATTATTTATTGTTTCCCTTCAACGTGGTGGTGACTTTACCGAAAGAGCCAAGAATAATAATTTTATTGTTTTACAAAAATTTTATTGTTTTATATTTTTATTATTTTATTGTTTCCCTTCTACGTGGTGACTTTACCTAAAGAACCAAGAATAATAATTGTATTGTTTTACAATAATTTTATTGTTTTATATTTTTATTATTTTATTGTTTCCCTTCTACGTGGTGGTGACTTTACCCAAAGAACCAAGAATAATTTTATTGTTTTATATTTTTATTATTTTATTGTTTCCCTTCTACGTGGTGGTGACTTTACCCTAAGAACCAAGAATAATAATTTATTGTTTTACAATAATTGTATTGTTTTATATTTTTATTGTTTTATTGTTTCCCTTTACGTGTTGGTGACTTTACCCAAAGAACCAAGAATAATAATTTTATTGTTTTACAATAATTTTATTGTTTTAATTTTTATTATTTTATTGTTTCCCTTCCACGTGGTGACTTTACCGAAAGAACCAAGAATAATAATTTTATTGTTTTACAATAATTTTATTGTTTCCCTTCTACGTGGTGGTGACTTTACCCAAAGAACCAAGAATAATAATTTTATTGTTTTACAATAATTTTATTGTTTTATATTTTTATTATTTTATTGTTTCCCTTCTACGTGTTGGTGACTTTACCCAAAGCACCAAGAATAATAATTTTATTGTTTTACAATCATTTTATTGTTTTAATTTTTATTATTTTATTGTTTCCCTTCCACGTGGTGACTTTACCGAAAGAACCAAGAATAATAATTTTATTGTTTTACAATAATTTTATTGTTTCCCTTCTACGTGGTGGTGACTTTACCCAAAGAACCAAGAATAATAATTTTATTGGTTTACAATAATTGTATTGTTTCATATTTTTATTATTTATTGTTTCCCTTCTACGTGTTGGTGACTTTACCCAAAGCACCAAGAATAATAATTTTATTGTTCTACAATAATTTTATTGTTTTATATTTTTATTATTTTATTGTTTCCCTTCTACGTGGTGACTTTACCCAAAGAACCAAGAATAATAATTGTATTGTTTTACAATAATTTTATTGTTTTATATTTTAATTATTTTATTGTTTCCCTTCTACGTGGTGACTTTACCGAAAGAGCTAAGAATTTTTTTTTATTGTTTTACAATAATTTTACTGTTTTATATTTGTATTATTTTATTGTTTCCCTTCTACGTGGTGGTGACTTTACCCAAAGAACCAAGAATAATAATTTTATTGTTTTACAATAATTTTATTGTTTTATATTTTTATTATTTTATTGTTTCCCTTCTACGTGGTGGTGACTTTACCCAAAGAACCAAGATTATCAATCACTGCAGTCACGAAAACTTTAAATAAAAATTCACTTTAAGATGTATTCTTAGCTCTTTCGGTAAAGTCACGTTGAAGGAAACAATAAAATAATAAAAATATGAAACAATAAAATTATTGTAAAACAATAAAATTATTATTCTTGGTTCTTTGTGTAAAGTCACCACGTAGAAGGGAAACAATAAAATAATAAAAATATAAAACAATAAAATTATTGTAAAACAATAAAATTATTATTCTTGGTTCTTTGGGTAAAGTCACCACGTAGAAGGGAAACAATAAAATAATGAAAATATAAAACAATAACATTATTGTAAAACAATAAAATTCTTATTCTTGGTTCTTTGGGTAAAGTCACCACCACGTAGAAGGGAAACAATAAAATAATAAAAATATAAAACAATAAAATTATTGTAAAACAATAAAATTATTATTCTTGGTTCTTTGGGTAAAGTCACCACGTAGAAGGGAAACAATAAAATAATGAAAATATAAAACAATAACATTATTGTAAAACAATAAAATTCTTATTCTTGGTTCTTTGGGTAAAGTCACCACCACGTAGAAGGGAAACAATAAAATAATAAAAATATAAACCAATAAAATTATTGTAAAACAATAAAATTATTATTCTTGGTTCTTTGGGTAAAGTCACCACGTAGAAGGGAAACAATAAAATAATGAAAATATAAAACAATAAAATTATTGTAAAACAATAAAATTCTTATTCTTGGTTCTTTGGGTAAAGTCACCACCACGTAGAAGGGAAACAATAAAATAATAAAAATATAAAACAATGAACTTGCTGTAAAACAATAAAATTATTTTTCTTGGTTCTTTCGGTAAAGTCACCACCACGTAGAAGGGAAACAATAAAATAATAAAAATATAAAACAAAAAATTATTGTAGAACAATAAAATTATTATTCTTGGTTCTTTGGGTAATGTCACCACGTAGAAAGGGAAACAATAAAATAAAAAAATAATAAAAACAAAAAAATAATTGTTAAACAATAAAATTATTATTCTTGGTTCTTTGGGTAAAGTCACCACCACGTAGAAGGGAAACAATAAAATAATAAAAATATAAAACAATAAAATTCTCACGACGTTTCGACTGCAACACAAGCAATCGATTGCAGTCGAAACGTCGTGAGAATTTTTATTGTTTTACATATATTTTATTATTTTATTGTTTCCCTTCTACGTGGTGGTGACTTTACCCAAAGAACCAAGAATAATAATTTTATTGTTTTATATTTTATTATTTTATTGTTTCCCTTCTAAGTGGTGGTGACTTTACCCAAAGAACCAAGAATAATAATTTTATTGTTTTACAATAATTTTATTGTTTTATAATTATTATTATTTTATTGTTTCCCTTCTACGTGGTGGTGACATTACCCAAAGAACCAAGAATAATAATTTTATTGTTTTACAATAATTTTATTGTTTTATATTTTTATTATTTTATTCTTTCCCTTCTACGTGGTGGTGACTTTACCCAAAGAACCAAGAATAATAATTGTATTGTTTTACAATAATTTTATTGTTTTATATTTTTATTATTTTATTGTTTCCCTTCTACGTGGTGGTGACTTTACCCAAAGAACCAAGAATATGAATTACTGCAGTCACGAAAGCTTTAAATCAAAATTTCACTTTAAGATGTTTAGTCTTGCTCGTGTTTTTGTGTTTGTTTGCGGTTGCACCAGATACCAAAATTAAATGGAACTATGAACTATAAATAAATGGAACTATGAACTATAAATAAATGGAACTATGAACTATAAATAAATGGAACTATGAACGCATTTAAATCTCCCGCAAGCGGTAGGGCGAGCCGGATGACGTCACGCTCGCAATACCCACACCCTTCGGTCGTGACGTCATCCCGAGTGAACGTCGGCGGTGACGTCACACCGCAAGCGCGTTCGTAACGTGACGAAATTTGCGCGCGCACTCGCGCGCCCCCCCCACACCAACCGTCGTCATTGCGTGCGCACTGACTCGCTGACGTCACCGCGCACCGACGTGCCGACGCGCTGACGTCACCTCGCAGCGACGTCGCCGCGCACGAATGCGTACTGGCCAATTGACGTCACCACGCACGCGAATCTCCGTCGACGTCACCGCGCACTGACGTAGTGACGTCACCGCGCGCTCGATGCTCTCCTGACGTCACCCCTAACTGGCGTGTTGACGTCACCACGCACTCGATTATCTGCGTACGTCACGGCGCACTGTCGTAGTGACGTCAACGCGCACGCGAGGCTTTGCTGCCGTGACGCGCCGAGCCCGATGGGAGAGGCAGATGCGGGCGGTGAGGCGATTTAAATCTCTCCCTCACCACTCCTCACCACCCCTCACCACTCCTCACCACTCTCTCCCTCACCACTCCTCACCACCCCTCACCACTCCTCACCACTCTCTCCTCACCCCACCACTCTCTCCCACCACATCTCCCTCACTCCTCACCACTCCTCACCACCCCTCACCACTCCTCACCACTCTCTCCCTCACCACTCCTCACCACTCCTCACCACTCTCTCTCTCTCACCACTCCTCACCACTCTCTCCCTCACCACTCCTCACCACCACTCTCTCCCTCACCACCCCTCACCACCCCTCACCACTCTCTCCCTCCTCACCACTCTCTCCCTCACCACTCTCTCCCTCACCAACCCTCACCACTCTCTCCCTCACCACTCCTCACCACTCCTCACCACCACTCTCTCCCTCACCACCCCTCACCACTCTCTCCCTCACCACTCTCTCCCTCACCACTCCTCACCACTCTCTCCCTCACCACTCTCTCCCTCACTACCCCTCACCACTCCTCACCACTCTCTCCCTCCTCACCACTCTCTCCCTCCTCACCACTCTCTCCCTCACCACCCCACTCTCCCTCACCACTCCTCACCACTCTCTCCCTCACCACTCTCTCCCTCACCAACTCTCACCACTCCTCACCACTCTCTCCCTCACCACTCTCTCCCTCACCAACTCTCACCACTCCTCACCACTCTCTCCCTCACCACTCTCTCCCTCACCACCCCCACCACTCCCCCTCACCACTCCTCACCACCACTCTCTCCCTCACCACTCTCTCCCTCACCACTCTCTCCCTCACCACCACTCTCTCCCTCACCACCCCCCACCACTCCCCCTCACCACTCCTCACCACCACTCTCTCCCTCACCACTCTCTCCCTCACCACCACTCTCTCCCTCACCACCCCTCACCACTCTCTCCCTCACCACCCCCCACCACTCCCCTCACCACTCCTCACCACCACTCTCTCCCTCACCACTCTCTCCCTCACCACCACTCTCTCCCTCACCACTCTCTCCCTCACCACTCTCCCTCACCACCCCTCACCACTCTCTCCCTCACCACTCCCTCCTCACCACTCTCTCCCTCACTACCCCTCACCACTCCTCACCACTCTCTCCCTCCTCACCACTCTCTCCCTCACGACCCCTCTCTCCCTCACCACTCCTCACCACTCCTCACCACTCTCTCCCTCACCACCCCTCTCTCCCTCACCACTCCTCACCACCACTCTCTCCCTCACCACTCCTCACCACTCCTCACCACCCCTGCAGGCCTGGCCCCGTGCTGTGCCCGCTGCGGACACAGAATCAGCGACCCGCGGTTCGTGCAGGCCCGAGACGCAGCCTGGCACAACGCCTGCTTCAGGTGGGGGACCCGGCCATGGGAACGTGGAGTGGGCACACTCACACTCGTGGTGACTGGGGGAGAGGGGGGTGAGTGAGAGTGGTGAGTGTGGTGATTGTGAGTGGTGAGTGAGAGTGGTGAGTGAGAGTGGTGAGTGAGAGTGGTGAGTGAGAGTGGTGAGTGTGGTGAGTGTGAGTGGTGAGTGAGTGTGAGTGGTGAGTGAAGTGGTGAGTGTGGTGAGTGGTGAGTGAATGTGAGTGGTGAGTGAGAGTGGTGAGTGAGAGTGGTGAGTGTGAGTGGTGATGGTGGTGAGTGTGAGAGGTGAGTGTGAGTGGTGAGTGAGTGGTGATGGTGGTGAGAGTGGTGAGTGAGAGTGGTGAGGTGTGAGTGGTGAGTGTGGTGTTGATGGTATTGGTGCTGCTACTGCTGTTGTGTTTGTGGGTATACGTGGCCTTGGCCATGTGAACGTGGAGTGGACACACTCGTGGTGATGGGGGGGGGGTGAGTGGGGAGTGAGAGTGGTGAGTGTGGTGTTGATGGTGTTGGTGCTGTTACTGCTGTTGTGTGTGTGTGTATATATACGTGGCCTTGGCCATGTGAACGTGGAGTGGACACACTTGTGGTGAGGGGGGGGGGGTGAGTGTGAGTTGTGAGTGTGAGTGGTGAGTGAGTGGTGATGGTGGTGAGAGTGGTGAGTGATGGTGGTGAGAGTGGTGAGTGAGAGTGGTGAGTGAGAGTGGTGAGTGAGAGTGGTGAGTGTGGTGTTGATGGTATTGGTGCTGCTACTGCTGTTGTGTGTGTGTGTATATATACGTGGCCTTGGCCATGTGAACGTGGAGTGGACACACTTGTGGTGATGGGGGGGGGTGAGTGGTGAGTAAGAGTGGTGAGTGAGAGTGGTGAGTGAGAGTGGTGAGTGTGAGTGGTGAGTGTGGTGTTGATGGTATTGGTGCTGCTACTGCTGTTGTGTGTGTGTGTATATATGCGTGGCCTTGGCCATGTGAACGTGGAGTGGACACACTTGTGGTGATGGGGGGGGGGGTGAGTGAGAGTGGTGAGTGTGAGTGGTGAGTGTGGTGTTGATGGTGTTGGTGCTGCTACTGCTGTTGTGTGTGTGGGTATACGTGGCCTTGGCCATGTGAACGTGGAGTGGACACACTCGTGTTGGCTGGTAGGAGGGGGGGGGTTTGTGGGGAGACGTGTGTGTGTGTACACACACACGTGTGTGTGTACGTGTGTGTGTACACACGTACACGTACACACACACGTGTGTGTGTGTACGTGTGTGTGTACACACGTACACACACACGTGTGTACGTGTGTACACGTACACACGTGTGTACATGCGTGTACACGTGTGTACGTGCGTGTACACGTACGTGTGTGTACACGTGTGTGTACACGTGTGTGTGTACACGTGTGTGTGTACACGTGTGTGCGTGTACACGTGTGTGTGCGTGTGTACACGTGTGTGTGCGTGTACACGTGTGTACGCGTGTGTACGTGCGTGTACACGTGTGTACGTGCGTGTACACGTGTGTACGTGCATGTACACGTGTGTGTGCGTGTACACGTGTGTGTGTGTGTACACGTGTGTGTGTACACGTGTGTGTGCGTGTACACGTGTGTGTGTGTGTACATGTGTGTGTGTGCGTGTACACGTGTGTGTGTGTGTGTACACGTGTGTGTGTGTGTACACGTGTGTGTGCGTGTACACGTGTGTGCACACTGTGTGTGTGGGGAGTGGTGGTGCAGTGGTTAGCGCTCCGCTTCGCTATGAACCCGGTGACCCAAGTTCGATTCCTGCTCTCGGCCAACACTGGTGACGATTATCTGAACCGGCTCTGGGCCTCCCCTAGGTCAACTCAGCCTCAAATGAATACCTGGTGTAGCTGTGTGGTGTAGTAAAACATCGTCACTGGAGGAGACAAAGGCGGCCGGGCGTGGTGGCGCTGGCCACCAAGAGATGGAGTGATGGGTGAGTGGGTGGTTGGCACGGGCTAGAGAAGAGATGGAGTGATGGGTGAGTGGGTTAGTGACACGGGCTAGAGAAGAGATGGAGTGATGGGTGAGTGAGTGGGTGGCACGGGCTAGAGAAGAGATGGAGTGATGGGTGAGTGAATGAGTGGCACGGGCTAGAGACGAGATGGAGTGATGGGTGAGTGAATGAGTGGCACGGGCTAGAGAAGAGATGAGTGATGGGTGAGTGGGTGGATGAGTGGCACGGGCTAGAGAAGAGATGGAGTGATGGGTGAGTGGGTGGGTGAGTGGCACGGGCTAGAGAAGAGATGGAGTGATGGGTGAGTGAGTGGCACGGGCTAGAGACGAGATGGAGTGATGGGTGAGTGAGTGGGTGGGTGGCACGGGCTAGAGACGAGATGGAGTGATGGGTGAGTGAGTGAGTGGCACGGGCTAGAGAAGAGATGGAGTGATGGGTGAGTGGGTTAGTGGCTTGGGCTATAGAAGAGATGGAGTGATGGGTGAGTGAGTGGGTGGGTGGCTCGGGCTAGAGAAGAGATGGAGTGATGGGTGAGTGAGTGGGTGGGTGGCTCGGGCTATAGAAGAGATGGAGTGATGGGTGAGTGGCACGGGCTAGAGAAGAGATGGAGTGATGGGTGAGTGGCACGGGCTAGAGAAGAGATGGAGTGATGGGTGAGTGGCACGGGCTAGAGAAGAGATGGAGTGATGGGTGAGTGAGTGAGTGGGTGGCACGGGCTAGAGAAGAGATGGAGTGATGGGCGAGGGGGTGGCATGGGCTAGAGAAGAGATGGAGTGATGGGTGAGTGGGTGGGTGAGTGGCACGGGCTAGAGAAGAGATGGAGTGATGTGTGAGTGAGTGGGTGAGTGGCACGGGCTAGAGAAGAGATGGAGTGATGGGTGAGTGAGTGGGTGGCACGGGCTAGAGAAGAGATGGAGTGATGGGTGAGGTAGTGAGTGGCACGGGCTAGAGAAGAGATGGAGTGATGGGTGAGTGAGTGGGTGAGTGGCACGGGCTAGAGAAGAGATGGAGTGATGGGTGAGTGAGTGAGTGGCACAGGCTAGAGAAGAGATGGAGTGATGGGTGAGTGAATGAGTGGCACGGGCTAGAGACGAGATGGAGTGATGGGTGAGTGAGTGGGTGAGTGGCACGGGCTAGAGAAGAGATGGAGTGATGGGTGAGGGAGTGAGTGGCACGGGCTAGAGAAGAGATGGAGTGATGGGTTAGTGCGTGGGTGAGTGGCACGGGCTAGAGAAGAGATTGAGTAATGGGTGAGTGGGTGGGTGGCAAGGGCTAGAGAAGAGATGGAGTGATGGGTGAGTGAGTGGGTGAGGGGCACGGGCTAGAGAAGAGATGGAGTGATGGGTGAGTGAATGGGTGAGTGGCACGGGCTAGAGAAGAGATGGAGTGATGGGTGAGTGAGTGAGTGAGTGGCACGGGCTAGAGAAGAGATGGAGTGATTGGTGAGTGAGTGGGTGGGTGGCACGGGCTAGAGAAGAGATGGAGTGATGGGTGAGTGAGTAGTTGGCACGGGCTAGAAAAGAGATGGAGTGATAGGTGAGTGAATGGCACGGGCTAGAGAAGAGATGGAGTGATGGGTGAGGGAGTGGCATGGGCTGGAGAAGAGATGGAGTGATGGGTGAGTGATGGGTGAGTGGCACGGGCTAGAGAAGTGATGGAGTGATGGGTGAGTGAGTGAGTGAGTGGCATGGGCTAGAGAAGAGATGGAGTGATGGGTGAGTGAGTGGGTGGCACGGACTAGAGAAGAGATGGAGTGATGGGTGAGGGAGTGGCATGGGCTAGAGAAGAGATGGAGTGATGGGTGAGTGAGTGAGTGAGTGGCACGGGCTAGAGAAGAGATGGAATGGTGGGTGAGGGAGTGGCATGGGCTAGAGAAGAGATGGAGTGATGGGTGAGTGAGTGGCACGGGCTAGAGAAGAGATGGAGTGATGGGTGAGTGAGTGAGTGGCACGGGCTAGAGAAGAGATGGAGTGATGGGTGAGTGAGTAGTTGGCACGGGCTAGAGAAGAGATGTAGTGATGGGTGAGTGAGTGGGTGGCACGGGCTAGAGAAGAGATGGAGTGATGGGTGAGTGAGTGGGTGAGTGGCACGGGCTAGAGAAGAGATGGAGTGATGGGTGAGTGAGTAGTTGGCACGGGCTAGAGAAGAGATGGAGTGATAGGTGAGTGAATGGCACGGGCTAGAGAAGAGATGGAGTGATGGGTGAGGGAGTGGCATGGGCTAGAGAAGAGATGGAGTGATGGGTGAGTGATGGGTGAGTGGCACGGGCTAGAGAAGTGATGGAGTGATGGGTGAGTGAGTGAGTGAGTGGCATGGGCTAGAGAAGAGATGGAGTGATGGGTGAGTGAGTGGGTGGCACGGACTAGAGAAGAGATGGAGTGATGGGTGAGGGAGTGGCATGGGCTAGAGAAGAGATGGAGTGATGGGTGAGTGAGTGAGTGAGTGGCACGGGCTAGAGAAGAGATGGAATGGTGGGTGAGGGAGTGGCATGGGCTAGAGAAGAGATGGAGTGATGGGTGAGTGAGTGGCACGGGCTAGAGAAGAGATGGAGTGATGGGTGAGTGAGTGAGTGGCACGGGCTAGAGAAGAGATGGAGTGATGGGTGAGTGAGTAGTTGGCACGGGCTAGAGAAGAGATGTAGTGATGGCTGAGTGAGTGGGTGGCACGGGCTAGAGAAGAGATGGAGTGATGGGTGAGTGAATGGGTGAGTGGCACGGGCTAGAGAAGAGATGGAGTGATGGGTGAGTGAGTGAGTGAGTGGCACGGGCTAGAGAAGAGATGGAGTGATTGGTGAGTGAGTGGGTGGGTGGCACGGGCTAGAGAAGAGATGGAGTGATGGTGAGTGAGTAGTTGGCACGGGCTAGAGAAGAGATGGAGTGATAGGTGAGTGAATGGCACGGGCTAGAGAAGAGATGGAGTGATGGGTGAGGGAGTGGCATGGGCTAGAGAAGAGATGGAGTGATGGGTGAGTGATGGGTGAGTGGCACGGGCTAGAGAAGTGATGGAGTGATGGGTGAGTGAG